CGTAAGGTGGTTGCGGGTTGGTGTGCCACTTGTATCTGGTGTTTTCTTAGTTCTTATTCAACAAGCTCAGGTATATTATTTACACATAGGAGAGTTCGTCAGGTTAGTGTTTTCGATACCTCGTTGGCAGCATCATTTTAAATGCCTTTTTCTTTTCCTTTGGATTCTTAGCGTTTTATGTACTGAAGCATGAAATTTCGTGCCTATCCATTTTTGAAGAATAATTGAAAAAAGGTATTTAGTTTGATTTCGGTAACCTTCATTATCAGAGCAGTGTGTTTTAGTTCGATTAAGAAGGCTGTAGACAGAACTCCTTTTGTGAGAGACTGGGTTGTTGCTCCCAAAATGTAGAACGACTTCCGAATATGTTCCTATACGGTAAACAGATGTACGGAGTCATTCATCAGTATTTCGAATATTCTGTGCAAAATTCGCAGGAAAACCATATCACAAAAGTATATCCCCTAAGGATGGTCAATTAAAAGTACAAGTTCGATATGTATACTAATCGTGGAACAGAATATGCAAATAAATAAGCGTAGTTACGAAGAACCAGGGGCATCTGAATTAACTATTTATGACTCACTGGGTGTTGTTTGCCAGCGCTAAACGTCTTGCAGTGCGGTTGAGTGTATTTAGAATTAACGAGCAACATCTACCACACACAATACCCCACAACCAGTTAAATTGCAAAATCCGCAACGCACTTCTTCCTGATAAAATTTGTATGCCACTAAGTAGAAATTACTTCTCTAAAGTTGTGTTCTCAAATTGAAAACTATCAATCAATCCCTAGTCTAAATCAGATTTTCTGCCCTAACAATTTACTAACCACATTTTTGAAATGTGAATTCGATTCAGACAATTAAATTCGATAAGTCTGTAATGAGGGTTATCATGCACTCTGATCTCAAAAAATTTCAGTCACGTTTGGATGCCAAGTTTACGATCAACTTTTGGACTACTTGCCAAAAGCCTACCCTGCAAAACTGACTTTTTGGTAGTACTGATTTTCCTAATTAATGTGTGTTACCTTATAAAGGCAAATATATATTTTGAAAAGTGTGCATAAAAATTATTCTTCCTTGTGTTCACTGGGTAGCTAGTAACGAATTAAGCAAAGGGTGTCTTATACTCTAGAAAACAGTTTCTCATAATGTGGTTTCCTATTCTGTGAAATATTCATTCATAGTACAGTGGCACCTCGGTTACTGAGTTTCGTCCGTTCGGACGCAGAGCTCGTCATGTAGAACACTCGTCTGGCGATGAGTAGCCAATCAGACCTGATCAGTTCATTGATTGGCTGCAGGTGATCGAGGACTCACGCTCCGGGAGCAAGGGTCAACGGCGAACACAGGTACACACACGCACCAAGAGCTCCTTAAATCAGCGGAACATC